CTCCGCCCTCTGCACCCCCGCAGGTGCAGCTGCCCGTCTCGCTGGACCTTCCACTCTTCCCTTCCATCATGATGCAGCCTGTGCAGCACCCCGCGCTGCCCCCGCAGCTCGCCCTGCAGCTACCCCAGATGGACGCTCTCTCCGCAGACCTCACGCAGCTTTGCCAGCAGCAGCTTGGGTTAGATCCCAACTTCTTAAGGCATTCTCAGTTTAAGCGCCCAAGGACAAGAATTACAGATGATCAACTAAAAATCCTGAGAGCTTATTTTGATATCAATAATTCCCCAAGTGAAGAACAGATCCAAGAAATGGCAGAGAAATCTGGCCTCTCGCAAAAAGTTATCAAGCACTGGTTTCGAAATACGCTTTTTAAGGAAAGACAGAGAAATAAAGATTCACCATACAACTTCAGTAACCCTCCCATAACTGTTCTGGAAGATATTCGAATCGATCCACAGCCCGCCTCCTTAGAACATTACAAATCGGATGCATCGTTCAGTAAAAGGTCTTCCAGAACGCGGTTTACTGACTACCAGCTTAGGGTTCTGCAAGACTTTTTTGACACAAACGCTTATCCAAAAGATGATGAAATAGAACAACTCTCTACTGTTCTCAATCTACCTACTCGGGTTATCGTTGTGTGGTTCCAGAACGCTCGTCAGAAAGCACGAAAGAGCTATGAGAATCAAGCAGAGACTAAAGATAACGAGAAGAGAGAACTCACGAACGAACGGTACATTAGAACGAGTAATATGCAGTACCAGTGTAAAAAGTGCAATGTGGTTTTCCCCAGGATTTTTGACTTGATTACACACCAGAAAAAGCAGTGTTACAAGGATGAGGATGATGATGCCCAAGACGAAAGCCAAACAGAGGACTCCATGGATGCCACCGATCAAGTGGTGTACAAGCACTGCACAGTGTCTGGACAAACGGATGTTGCCAAAACCGCTGCTGCCCCTGCACAAAGCTCTGGCTCTGGGACTAGCACACCCCTGATTCCATCACCCAAACCAGAGTCTGAGAAGACCTCTCCAAAACCTGACTATCCCACAGAAAAGCCAAAGCAGAGTGACCCTTCTCCCCCTTCCCAAGGCACCAAACCAGCCCCAACAGTAGCTTCTACGTCCTCAGATCCACCACAGGTCTCCTCGGCCCAGCCCCAGCCCCAGCCCCAGCCCCAGCCCCAGCCACCAAAACAAGCGCAACTTGTTGGAAGACCTCCCTCGGCCTCTCAAACCCCAGTTCCTTCCAGTCCACTGCAAATTTCCATAACTTCGCTCCAAAACAGTCTACCTCCGCAGTTACTCCAATACCAATGTGACCAGTGTACAGTTGCCTTCCCAACTCTGGAACTTTGGCAGGAGCACCAGCACATGCACTTCCTAGCTGCTCAAAACCAATTCCTCCACTCTCCATTCTTGGAAAGGCCCATGGACATGCCCTACATGATATTTGACCCTAACAATCCTCTGATGACTGGACAGCTGCTGGGTAGCTCTCTCACACAAATGCCGCCTCAGACCGGTTCCTCCCACACTGCAGCCCCTCCAGCCATTGCTGCTTCCCTTAAAAGGAAACTGGATGATAAAGAAGACAACAATTGCAGTGAAAAGGAGGGAGGGAATAGTGGTGAAGACCAACACCGCGATAAACGCCTGAGAACCACCATCACCCCGGAACAACTGGAAATCCTCTATGAAAAATACCTGCTGGACTCTAATCCCACCAGAAAAATGCTTGATCATATTGCACGTGAAGTAGGGCTGAAGAAAAGAGTGGTGCAGGTCTGGTTCCAGAACACACGAGCAAGAGAAAGGAAAGGTCAGTTCCGGGCAGTGGGTCCAGCCCAGTCTCATAAACGGTGCCCGTTCTGCAGAGCCCTGTTTAAAGCAAAGTCTGCCTTAGAAAGCCACATTCGCTCTCGGCACTGGAATGAAGGAAAGCAGGCAGGTTACAGCTTGCCACCAAGTCCTTTAATAGCCACTGAGGATGGGGGCGAAAGCCCACAGAAATACATTTATTTTGACTATCCATCTTTGCCATTAAATAAAATGGATCTATCAAGTGAAAATGAATTGGCTTCTACAGTGTCAACGCCTGTTAGTAAAACAGCAGAGCTGTCGCCAAAAAATCTTTTAAGCCCTTCTTCTTTTAAAGCAGAATGTCCTGAAGATGTAGAGAATTTAAATGCCCCTCCTGCTGAGACTGGGTATGATCCAAATAAAACTGACTTCGATGAGACTTCATCCATTAATACGGCCATCAGCGATGCCACCACCGGAGATGAGGGGAACACGGAGATGGAAAGCACCACAGGAAGTTCTGGAGATGTGAAACCTGCACTGTCTCCCAAAGAGCCAAAGACACTTGACTCCCTGCCAAAACCAGCAACCACGCCTACTGCGGAGGTCTGCGATGACAAATTTCTCTTTTCTCTCACCAGTCCATCCATCCATTTCAACGATAAAGATGCTGACCATGACCAAAGCTTTTATATCACGGATGACCCCGACGACAATGCCGACCGCAGTGAAACCTCCAGCATAGCCGACCCAAGCTCACCAAATCCATTCGGATCTGGCAACCCTTTCAAATCCAAAAGCAATGACCGGCCAGGTCACAAGCGTTTCAGAACCCAAATGAGCAATCTCCAGCTCAAGGTTCTCAAGGCTTGCTTTAGTGACTACCGAACACCGACCATGCAGGAATGTGAAATGCTGGGGAATGAGATCGGTCTGCCGAAACGTGTGGTGCAGGTGTGGTTCCAGAATGCAAGGGCAAAGGAAAAGAAATTTAAAATTAACATAGGGAAGCCTTTCATGATTAATCAAGGAGGAACGGAAGGCACTAAACCAGAGTGTACCCTCTGTGGGGTGAAGTATTCCGCCCGCTTGTCCATCAGAGATCACATCTTCTCCAAGCAGCACATTTCAAAGGTGAGGGAGACCGTGGGCAGCCAGCTGGACCGGGAGAAAGATTACTTAGCCCCAACCACGGTGCGGCAGCTGATGGCACAGCAAGAACTTGACCGTATAAAGAAAGCTTCGGATGTGCTGGGCTTAGCCGTACCGCAGCCGGGGATGATGGACAGCAGCTCCCTCCATGGCATCAGCCTGCCAGCCGCCTACCCAGGACTCCCTAGCCTTCCTCCAGTGCTTCTCCCTGGGATGAACGGTCCATCCTCCTTGCCTGGATTTCCACAGAATTCAAACAGTAAGTCATATGAAGGCGAGTCAGTCTAGTTAACTAGGTAGCATTTAGAAACCAAGCCCACGTAAACAAAGGCCAGGTGAATTGAGACTTTGAACTTCCCTAGGTGAAACCAATAAATGATTTAAAATGTAGGTTTTATTAGATATCTCAAATAACCGGGAAGTAGGTTCACCTGGACATATGCAGAAAAATTTGAACTAGATTGATCCTACCAGATTCTCAGTAAGATCTTAATTATTGTCATCATTACCTCTTTAGGCCTCAGAGTATTATTTTTATATACTAATATCAGTGCTGATTTCAAATGACTTTGATACAAACATGTGGTACAGTATTTGGCATAAATACTAAGAAAAGGAAACATGACGGAAGTATTTACTGGTGTTTTAATTCCTGCTCTTTCCAAGCAGCAGGAGTTTTTGTTTTTGCTTCTAAGTTGTTTTTCCCTCCACTCACAATAAATGCCATGAAATTCAAAACTGAAGGGCTCGCTAGTCACAAGAAACTGCCTAGCATATAATAAAGCTGATGCTTAAAGTGAAATAAAACTTTGGCTTCTGTGATAATTTGTAATTCAGCATTATTATGAGATGTTGATTTTGTAGCACCCATTGCTACTTGTTACTTAAGTAAACTCTCAACATTAACAATACGTTAATATTATTCCATGACTTCCTCTTCTCCTCCCCTCTCCCCAGCTCAAGTTTGAAATCCAGGTAACCCCAGATGCTGGATCCAACTCTATGTTCATCAACAGAAATGTAATTTGTACAGTTTAAATTTTGTGAATAAGTATAGGCGTTCAATTATACTAGGCTGAATCAAATGCGTATACTATATTAGGCAATCATGCTGCCAAAAATGTGTCACAAGTCATGTATCAGGAAAAATATAACAACATAGTTGTAATTTCTTCCTTTAAGTATTCTTCAAATTATCAATGACTTTTCTTTTTAAAAAGAAAATTTGGCATTCTAAAGAGATTTATCTAGCATTTACCAAATATATATGTGTGTATATATATATATATGTCAACAAAGTTGATAAATAATACAAGAAAAGCTTTTATTTTCAGAAATTTGACTTTTACATGAATTTCAAATTTTCAATTCTGCCTCTCTCTTACAAAAAACAAAATTGCCACTGTGCTGTAAGAAGCTACCCTGATGCTAAGTGTCAGCTTGGGAGGCATGGGCACAGTGACGGCCCGCGGCCTCCCGTGCCTGCCTCGTCTGGCTCCCTGTCCGGAGTGATTTGTTGGCTTCCGATGGAAAGAGTGTACAGCCATACATAGAGTGTTACCAGGAAAGTATCTGTGATGTCCCTTCCTGCATCACACCAATTCTCTGTTCCCCCAAAGTAGTTTGGGCTCGTGTGCATGATCTAGGGATTGAAATATTAGATCTACAATTACATGTTTTGCTTATGCATTCTAACTACGTCATATATAAGTATTTTGGAAACAGTGCAATAGCAGGGGCTTCCACATGTGGTATTAGTCTTGTTACTTTGTGATGCCACTTTATATACCACTGTGACTACTAATTAACATACAAAAAGTGTAGAAGAACTTCCATGATCAATTATGTAAAATAAAAATGTTTCTGATCTTTTACATGGACTAAGAACAGTTCAAGTATCCATGCCTTTAATCTGTAAATTTTTGATTGATGATGATGGTGTTGTCACCTTCGCCTGGGAGTGGTCACAGCATCTTATTTTTCTCTCCAGTGGGTCAGAAAGTCTTTGCTGGGACAGTGGGTCCTTCTGCCAATTACCCTTCTGCTTTGTTACTCTGATACTGGCACCCAGAGGACCTGAGCAGTAGAATATGACACAGAAGGAGCGAGAAGACCTTTACGAAATATTTAAACTAACATTTTTCTCATTTTACTCACCATAAATATAATTTATATCCATCCCCTGAAATATGGGCCCTGTTTATAATTATCAGCATTGCTGAGAAGATGTTGGAGGCAGGCCTTCTTTGGGTAAGAATACCTTTGAACACACCAGGTACTGAAGAATTCAGTACTTTGTCTGATGCTTTATTAAATCATGGACCAAAACCGACTGGGGAGTGCTGTAAAGAGAAACACTCCATGAATGATGCTACCTACTGGAATTTGCAATTTCTCTTGAATTAATCCTTTGTTTGTGATAGATTTTAACATCAGCACAGCAGATTTACCAGTGGGACTCCATCGAAAGCTTGAGTTCCCTCACTTCCTGTTCAGATCTTTTTAAGGTTAATTTACCTGTGATGGGGGAGCAGAATATTTTTAACCAGCTCATGAATAGAGCTGTGGTTCTGCATCTTTCCGTCATCATCTTTCCATCTCATCCAGAAAATATCATTGCTTTATGGGATAGAGCTAAAAACAAAAAAACCAGCTAAGAGAAAACAAGAAAAAAATCCTCCCTACATAAAATCATGTCTGTATTTTTTACGAGCTCTGGGTTCCTAGTACAATGTGTTATCTGTAGGAGCATATTTTAAGACTATGGTAAGTTCATCTTGGACCCATTTTAATAGGATTTAGGGAAGCAAGAGGATTATTTTTTTAAAAAAGAAATTCTATACCTTTGAAAGTTTGAAGGTTTTAATCAGAAGTAAATCAATAAAAAGTGTTCCAGTGAATGTTAGATACGCTGCAAGTTAATGAGTTTGTCTAAAAGCTACACCACAAAATTAGCTTAATTGCAACATGCATGTTCAGTTCCATTATTTTATGATGTCTAAATTTTAGGATTTATATACACATTTTGTTTGAAGGGTGAATTGCTCTCTGGTTGGATATCAGGCATCAGGCTTTGTGCTCACAAAAATTGCTTACTTCCAAGAAATCCTCAAATTACGTAGGCCTTCAAACCTTCTCAAAGGGCCCTTTCAAAAGTAGTATAGATCATGTGTGCCTGACTCAAGAAGAGTTTCCAAGCCCTGTGGTCATTACTGCTGCTTAGTATAGCTCATTTTTATAAAATGAGTTGTTCTCTACTTTAAATTTTTTCACATTTTAGCATTTTTTTCATCATGACCATATGTAAAAAGAGAAAATGGCAATACAGTATTACTTGTGTGTATACCTGGAGAAACTTTAAATTTATGTTTTGGAGTTGGCTTCATTTGGTATTTTGCTCAAGATGAATAATTACTTGATTTTCTTTTTTAACTTTTTTCTTGTGTTAAGCAGAGTCCAATTTTAAAAGTTCAATTAGTTTTTGAGAATAGAGCCTAACTCAGTTTGCTTAAATGAAACCTCAGAACATGGTTTTGCATTTTTCTAAAACTTCCCTGTAATTTATTGCACATTGGGGTAAATGTGGATGACAGTAAGTTCTTCGTAATTTTAGCACACTTGTTTTTAGCGAGGTACATGAGTGTTTTTATTTTTACCTCAAAAGTAAGTTTTCTTTTTGGAAGATCGAGGTCAAGGTAACCCTGGGAAGGGAAACAACATGTCAAGTGCATTGTGCAGCAGGCATTTTCCTCTGAAATCATTATTTTCAGGGATGAGTAGCTACCTCAGGAAAGCAAAACCAGGTAAATTGAAGGCAGTGTGAGATAATTCACAAAGTTTTTTTATCTCTATGTGAAATTTCTAAGAACTGGAATAGGACTTGGGAAATAGGACAGAATGTGCCATTAGCGATCTAACTCAGTGAAAGACAGGAAGCTTCACCACACATTTACTCTTAGCTTTGAGTTGCCGTCACTCTTTGCATGTCAGTTCTTCTCTTCCGCGTATGGTTTCTGGCTACTGAATTTTTAGCCACAGATTTTTATGAGCTTATACTTTTTATTCGTAAACCCAATATATGTATTTATTATCTTAATCTGCAATCTTTTCCTAAAAATTTCATTTAACTGAATTATTAACAGGTTATTTCTAAAGATGCTAAACTCCTAAAAATCCCCTCATGATCTCTAACTATATTATTTAAGACTCTTAATGCAGTCTTCTACAAATTTTTATTACTTCACTGTATGACCTCCGGATAGGAATATGTAGACCTCCTCTAATGGGAAAGCTTGAGCCAACAACTATTGATCCGTCTTGCTAATTATAATTGCCATGTTCCCCCGTTTCTTAGCTCTCTAGACTTTTTAACTTAAGTTCTCATGTCAGAGAGATATTAGTAGGCAAGCTAGTAGTTTTAAGTGAGAAATGGGGAATGCACAGGGTAAGAGGAGATACAATTGCTGAGTATCAACTACCCTAGCACTGGACCTAGACCTGAGGTTGTTTTTCTGGGTGGGCAAAAGAAGCTGTTGACCAATGTAGTGACCCTCTCACAGTGTGAAGAAGGTTCTGCTGCCCTGGGTAAAGTCTCCATCTGAATGCGTCAGATTGAAATCTAATAACTAGACCCTCATTCCTTTGATTCAACGCATACAATCCTTTGTTAAATGGGAAGTAGTATAGAATTCCATACAATCTGAACATCATAGCAGGAAAGAACCTCAAAAATGACCTAATCCGATATATATTGAGCCTTGTCAATAATACCATGTGTATCTCTTTGGTTCTTTCTTCCTGATAAAATTCTGTAGAGGAGCAAGTGGGAAGAATATGAAGATTACAGGAATAGCAGGAATAGAAGCAAAGGCAGGAAGAGGGTAGAACCCCAGAACAACTGTATCACTTTACAGTTTTCCCCAGGGCCAGCTCTAAATCATATAGATCTATGAGGTCTACCACACTGAATTGGACTAAGGACCAAGGAAGCTACTCATTCATTCCTATCATACCCTGCAAAGCTTAATCCCTGTGCATTCTGAGTTGATTTTAAATGTGTAAGCCATTCTTCAGTAAAATATGGGCACTTGCCAGAAATCAAATGCTATCATCAAGGATTTCTTGTTTTTTGCATTTTGAGTATTTGAATTGTTTCAATAAGACCAGATGACAAATTTGAGTGGCCGCTGTGAAATGTAGTGTCCTCCAGCCCTTGTACCACTGAGTCATAGATCTTTCTCTGTCAAACACTTGCCATCTGTAGGACTCAACTTTTATTAAAGAATGAAAATTTTAGAATTTATTTTCCCTGACCATTAAGGAGTTGGGGGACTGGTCTCCAACATTATTAACAATAGCTATTACAACTATCGAAATTATTCCAAAATAACTCAGAGAAGAGTGCAGGAAGGTTAAACAGAGGGGCATCCAGTAACAAGCTATTGAAACTGAGACTACTATGATCGTGGCAGAGTCACAGAAAGAGGATGTTGAGAAGTTTACACCAGGAAATCCACAGATACCCAAATGCGAGGATGGTCAGGTTCTTTATGTAATATGGCAAAATATTTGCATATGACCGATGTGTATACTTTTGTGTACTTTAACTCATCTCTAGATTACCTACAGTACATAATACAATGTACATCTTATGTAAATAGTTGTTATGCTGTATTGTTTAAGTCCGGATGATAGGAACAGTCTGTACATGTTCAATATAGATATCATTTTTTAAAAATATTTTTGCTCCATGGCTGGTTGAATCTATGCAAATAGAATTTGTGCATATGACCATATCTTGAATGTGAACTTTCTGGGCTAAAAGAAGGCCTTTCTTGACTGAGTAAATACCAATGAAGAACCTAAACTTTTTTCATAGCTAAAGAATAAAAGCATACAGTTTATGTCAGTCATGTCTCGGTATTGGTTTTAACACCCACATGTTACATGTAGGATAGAGATAAGACTATGACCAATATTAAAAGATGATTCTAGCCAGGTGTGGTGGTGCACGCCTATAATCCCAGTACTCGGGAGGCTGAGTCAGGAGGATCATTGTGAGTTTGAGGCCAGCCTGGGCTACACAGTGAGCTCAAGTCCAGCCTGAACTGCATAGTGAGACCGTGTCTCAAAAGGACATTAAAAAATGGTTCTAATAAACCCTATGACCATTCTGTCTACAGCTATGTACAGATAATTAAACTTTATTCCCTTTCTTCTGTTTAAGTCTCCTGGTTAAGTCCCTGTCATGATCATTTGGTGAACTTTATGTAGTTAGGGAACAATCTTCCGTTAGTCATATATTAGGCATCAGTCTGTTCGTTCTGCAGTCAATCATATTTGCTTCTAAAAGCATTTTGAGAAAGTGCATAGGCTTCTACAATTTCCCTTTCCATCCTTAGCTGTCATTCCATTTTCCCACCAACTACTCAGATAGTAGAACTTGGCTCTGTAATAAGTTATGAGTGACTATTATGTTTATTGAGTACTTGAAACCAAACAAAATCCACTTCCCTTAGTTCAGGAGTCCTGCACCACCCACACAATCTATCTACTGAGCATTTACTTTCTTTTCCCTAATGAGGTGAGAATCACATCTGCATACTGTAAGCAAATCTGAAAGAACATGTTTTCAGAGGGGTGAAGTGGAGTGTTAACACGTGCAGCTTCCATCAGTGATGCTAATGCACAGCTTAATCTGTACCTTTCAAAATGACATCGTGCCTCCCCATGCTTGCTCCTAGTAATGAGTATCTATGGCTTTACTCTTATTTGTTTTCTAGTATCTTCAGTGGTCGTACCAGTCTACACTCCCACCAACAGTGGAGTAGGATTCCTTTTTCCCCATAGCCCCCCAGCATTTGTTACTGGTTGATTTCTTGATGATATCCATTCTTTCCAGGGTGAGGTGGAATCTCAATGTTGTTTGAATTTGCCTTTCTCAAATGACCAGTGATGTTGAACATTTTTTCATATATTTATTTGCCATTTCTATTTCTTCATCTGAAAAGTGTGCATTCTGTAACATTTT